GAGGGAGGTAAGGTGCTCCTAAACAACATAACCCGCCGATATACTTGCATTTACGGAAGGACCGCTTTTCGGGGAAAAAGGCGCGGGGAAGCCTTTGACGAGCAATCCCATCATCGGGGATGGCACAAACGAGGGATTACTTTTCCGCAGATTTTAGATGCTAACCATGAGCCAACGATCTCATATCCATCTCTGTAGGGAAAGTGCAAGTGGCGTGACGCGTGACTCTAACGTTGTCCACGTGGTTATCTTGTGTTAAATGACACATTTCCTGGACAACAATGGTATGATCTGAGGTCCTGTCATTAGCCTGCTTGCTCGCCATCGTCGCATTAGCAATGGAAAGGTAGGTTTAATTTACTTTATGAAGACTTGTAGTTGAAAGATTTATTTTCAAATGCAAATTAACGCTGTTTTCAGCGAGGAAACTATCATAGAGATCACCTCATCGCCAGAGAAAGCACAGGCAGACCACTCTGTGTGTTCGTGGTTAATAATTGTTTGTCAGAAACGAACAGAGTCTACGAGAGTTATGAATAAAGCTCTGAAAATTGCACATCTAAATTACATCTCGGTCTGAATATCCCAATTAAATTAAACGAAACGTTAATCGACTCATGTGTGGTGTTTTTTCGCCTTCCTGGGCCGTCTGAAGCGTTTTTTTACGAAATTACTTTTGGCCGGAGACTGGTAAGACAACACAGGAAGAATAATTTGAATAGTATAATTTGATTTACGTTTGCACTGAAATGTTTTCCATGTTATTTTACTTAACACAAGTTGATATTGACTTAATATTTTTTATCCTTTATTTTTAATAAAAGTACTCGAGACTAGCTAGGCTGCAATATTAAGTGATTCAATGTCTTAAAAACATTAATAACATTAATAGTTACAGTAAATTTTGAAGCCTTTAGTTTAAGTGGACAGCAATTTGTTTGTCACACGCGACTATTCTTTGGCAAATAAAGAAGAATAAATACATTGTTCCAATAAATTTCTTAAAACTTTTTTTTAACTTTAGTTAGCTGCTGAAAAAATCAAAACAATTGACTGCTACTGGGCTACAAGCCGGAAAAGCTAATTTGGTTGGTTTGGTTCCTTTGTTCGGTCTTTGCACTGATAATCTTCGCCTATCTCTTGTCAAATTTATGTAAACTCATTACATTACGGGAGAATAATCCCCTAGAATTAGCCAATCAGGGCGCGCTTTATTATGGCAACAAACGGAACACACTTTAAACATAACGGCTCTTGAAAAGCAATGTATCACTCGCTTGGTAAATAATGGCTTGATCGAGCACTGGGCTAACGCTCACAAATTCATTCCCCCATGGCCTCATACATCATCCCCGCGCAATAGATGTCGAAACGAACAACGCAAAAATAATACAACTGACAACATTATTGACAATAACCCAGTTTATTCAATTTAAGCTGATTTCTTTTCCTCTCGTCAGATAATTTAGAGATCCCCAAAATAATGTCTCCCCTGCTATTTCTCCTTTTGTTGTCTTCTAGGTCATTCTAGGTTCTAGCTCTAAACCAGGTGGTTCTGAAATCTCCTGACGGGAAGATCTGGGAAGAAACGTGAGAACTATTTTTACAACAACACACATCTTTGAAATTTCCTGGTGAATAATTTCAAAAAACCTTTAACCAAGCGCGATTCTAAATATAAGTTAAGAGGAAATCCCGTGTTCTAAATTAAGTTCGATTCATCCTTAAGCCCGGCTTAACGGTCAAACGTATACAAAAAAAAAAAAACAACAACAAAAAAACAAAAACGCTCAAGCTGGCAGAAATCAGTGTTGATTACTTTCTGGAACCAAAATTTGACGAGAAAACTGCGCCTACGAGACTAGCTATCTCATAGAGCACGCTACATTAACATACCTCTGTTATGTTTTTTCATCCATCAGGACATCTTGTTTGTCTCTATCCACTTCAAGTAGTGGGAGACACGAGCAAACACAGTGAAATACTCCGTGATACACATGTCATTTCCCCAACTGACTACACCTCGCAAAACCCACTTGCCATTTTCTTCACAAACAAGAGGTCCTCCGCTATCTCCCTAAAGGGGTAAAATATATTCAATAATTGTAATGCGGAACAAAGAAATTAAATATTCAAAACTATAGGGAGAATAAAGAAACTTAGGTAAGTATATTTTTAACCTCAATAGCCGTAATAGAAGGCGACTATGCAAGGCTCTGGGCATACCTGCTGTTACCAGGGAATGAGCAAACAAGCGAAACGAACGGACGAGCGAGCGAACGATCGATTGATCAAACGAACGAACGAACGAAAGAACGAAAGAACGAAAGAACGAAAGAACGAACGATCGATTGATCTAACGTACGAACGAAGAATTAAACGAACAGACGTACGGATGGACTGAATGACTGACTGACTGACGGACGGATGGACGTACAGAAAAACCGACTAACCGACCAAAATGAACACAAAGCACACGATGAAAGGGACGAACAGTTGTTCGTGGCAGTAGCTTGACATGTTGTCAATGGAGATCTGCCAGCAAAACTGACGACAATTTTCACAGAATTCATTAATTTAGGGGTATCGATTTCAAGTTTCAAATGTTTGAAGACAATTAATTCTCAAGAAATGTTGGCTTTGAATCTATTAATGTGCCAGGGAACAGCGCATGTTGTAACTCTTTAAAATAAACATACACTGTCGTTGTGGGTCTAAATTCTGGGTCCTGTTAAGGAGATTTTTTTTTAACATTTTTTTTTTCTAATTTTCGAAATTTGTTTGTTAGATATGAATTAAATCGACATTTTTTCACCTGACAACCTCCTTTGCCCTGGCCTCCAGCACACAACATAGGACCTTTGTGAACCTTTCTCACGACTTTCATTTTTTCACGGCATGTTTTGTGATCCGCCACTGGAAGCACTGCTTGTTGCAATACTTCCGCTCCA